GAGTGACATCTTCATATACATGTTTGGGGTAATACCTAGAGGAGAACGCCCTTTTTGGTTTGATCGGATGATAAATGTGACCTGTAGACTGAGAAAAAAGAATTCAAGATGGCCACCGTGGTGGCCATTTTGGGTGGTGGACCGGAACCAAAAGGGGACGTCTCATCTAGGCATTAACCCAAACATATATATGAAGTTTGGTCATGATTGGATAATAAATGTGACCTGTAGACTAAGACAAAGGAATTCAAGATGGCCACCGGGTGGCTATTTTGGGCAGTGGGCTGGATTTTGATTAGAGCTATTTTGTTTAGTTTCAATTGGATGTGATAACATGCCAACTACAATAAAGTTTAAAGTATTAAACTACTACCGGAACCAAAAGAGGACGTTCTCAACTAGGCATTGACCCAAACATACGTATGAAGTTTGGTCAAGTTACTGTTGAAGTTCTTATTTGAATGTCAGATATCAAAATGATGGACTGGGCAATAACCAAGAATTTTCCTAATATTAAATGACAACATGTACCAACTTGGGATTTTCTGCAGTGCTGCGAATCGGACAAATTCACTATATATTTAATATGTCAAGTAAATATCCAAATAATGGAAAATGAATACTTTTTTCTAATCGGTAGTGGATGCAAATATTCAGCAACTTATCACCTCACAAACTATTTCCCATACCACAAAGTATTAAGGGACTAATGTGCCAATTAAGTGTGGGTTTCACTTTGGGGGTGCAGTTGGGATGTTGGCTGTGATAGCCTAAACAGCAGTAACCTAGTTGTTGATGGAGAGAATACACAAATTAGTTGCTAAAATTGCAATATTATGACATTGCAAGTCTATACTCTTGTTTACGCTGCATAAAAATATTGGAAAAGTGTTCAAGTGGATACTGGTCCCATCAGTCACAAAAAAATTGTCCCATCAGTCACACAAATATGTGTCACTATTTTCCCAGTGAGCATTTAGGACATATCAAAAGCAGTACTGATAGAAAAATATATATTCCCCATATGATTCGAACTTATTAATGGTCAGTGAAACATGCTAATTGCTAGGATAATAAACTTTGTTTACTAGTATTCAAAATGTGTGTCCAAATCATGTCCCATCAGTCACGCAGTAAGAATTTGAATATATTGGCCATATTATATTTCTATGTTATGACGGTGATATTTATTCTTGAATTATAAGACATTCTGCTTATGTATCAGTTTTCAAAGTAGTAATATGACTTAAAATATAAAAATGACAGAGGGTCAAAATATCAAATTTTCTGTCTTGTCCCATCAGTCACAAGTGGAAATGCCCTGATGTTAATTCCCTGATCCTGTGTTTTCTTTTGAATCCTGAATTCTCAGTCTCTTTGATGTTTTAACATTGTTAATTTGTTGTTTCCAGGCGCACACAGAGGTGCACGCCGAGGAGGAGGCCGACGAGGCGCACATAGAGGTGCACGCCGAGGAGGCCGACGAGGCGCACATAGAGGTGCACGCCGAGGAGGAGGGCGACCAACCTGGGACAAGTGGGACCAGCAAAAAAAGAAAAGTGAGTACCTGAGTAATATTCCCTGATCCTGTGTTTTCTTTTGAATCCTGAATTCTCAGTCTCTTTGATGTTTTAACATTGTTATGGGACATGTGGGACAAGTGGGACTAGCAAAAAAAGAAAAGTGAGTACCTGAGTCATATTCCCTGATCCTGTGTTTTCCCATGTTTTATTTATTTATTTATTAGTTGGAAATACTCGTTCATGAATTGTTTTTGTTTTTTTCACAAGTCGACAATGACCTTGGAGGAAATACGGGCAAGCCTGGACAAAAAAACGACAGTACCTTTGTTAAACAACTTGCTGCTATTGAAGTGTGAAGATGATGACGCCTATGAGAAACAGACACGATTTGAAGGAAAATTTAACACCTTGGACTTAACCGAGATGCGCACTTCGAGTTTGATTCGTTATTGAAAACAAAGAGGGGCTGCCTACCAAGCTGGTCACTGCTGGGGACAAATGATGGTTGCAGCCCCAGAATCTCCAGGTGACTGGGGGTGGAAGAGGAAGGACACAGGTGGATGGGAAGTTCACTGGACCACACTATCAGAAGCGACCCAGGCCTGTCGCGGACTCCTCCGCTGTAGATGCAAAAAGAGGTGCAGAGGAAGGTGCAAATGAGTTAAGGCAGCACTTCAGTGCACTGCCCTTTGCCTCTGTGGTGGACTGTGTTTTCAGAACTAACATTGCAATTCATTAAAAACCGGTAATACTGCTATGGAAGGCCTTACTTGGTTAAAAATGGAGGGATTGTCGTGGATTGTGCGCTCACCACTAACAAACAACATTGGACATGCAATATTGATTTGCAAGATACAGCATAATCTCGTGAACTATGTGCTCATATAAATAAACTACCAAGTATTTTAAAGGAATCACTGGGAAGTACTGCATTACACTCTCACATGTTACAGTTCGAAAACACGTATAACTCCGCCAATATTAAATATGTTGATGGTTTTGCTATTATTCAGTTCCTTGAATGCCAGATATATTATGTAGTTAGGTAGTTTCTAGCGTGTTGTAAATAGTACCACTGCATTTCCCATCACAACCATTTTCAATTTACTAGCTTTGTTAATTAATTTGTTGAACCAATATGATACCTTTAAAATGTAATTTTCAGGTGTAAATAAAGTGATTGAATTGAATTGAAGTAAATTGAATTGGATAATGGATTTGAATGGCGGCCATTTTGAAATTCAAGATGGCCCTCTACCGATAATATTTTGATTGCATGTGTTCCTTGACCCGCGATAATGTTTGGTTTAGACACAAACATTCATGTTTATATGTTGAATATTTGCTGAAATATTAAATGATAATGGATTTGAAATGCGGCCATTTTGAAATTCAAGATGGCGGCCTCTGACCGATAATGATTTTGATTGCAATGTGTTCCTTGACCCCGATAATGTTGGTTTAGACACAAACACATGTTTCTATGTTGAATATTGGCTGAAATATTAAATGATAATGGATTTGAATAGCGGCCATTTTGAAATTCAAGATGGCGGCCTCTGACCGATAATGATTTTGATTGCAATGTGTTCCTTGACCCCGATAATGTTGGTTTAGACACCAAGATCATGTTTCTATGTTGAATATTAGCTGAAATATTAAATGATAATGGATTTGAATAGCGGCCATTTTGAAATTCAAGATGGCGGCCTCCGACCGATAATGATTTTGATTGCAATGTGTTCCTTGACCCCGATAATGTTGGTTTAGACACCAAGATTATGTTTCTATGTTGAATATTAACTGAAAATGAAGGATAATGGATTTGA